CACCGCGTCGCGTCGAATAACTCGTTTTCGTGTTCTGCTCGATGCGCGGAAATTACGGGGTTTATTTTAATTTGCGATCGAGTGACGCGCGTCGGGCGCGCATTATCCTCTTGTAGCGCTGCGCCTCGAGTTTCTTATAATTTCGGTTAATCCGTCGCCGGCGGATTTTCTGCTTTTTTGCCGACCGACGATCCCCGATGTCGCTCGCTCGGTTCCTTCGGGTATTCATTAGTCGTGGACGGCGCTCGCGATTACCGGGCATTCGGAGGAGAGGCTAGCTGTTTCCCATGATCCCGGGGAATTTATGGCAGTTACCGAGTTATTCTTCCTTCACAAACGCGGACTCCTGTATTTCAGGACAAAAGTCTTCTTTCGCCGGCGCTCGAGTTCTGACCGGGCCACCGATGTCTCTCTCCCGAGCAATCCATTGTTTTCTTCCTTCCAGACTGATATACGGCGGCCACTTTTCATCCCCAGTGACACGGTGGCTTAGAAATGGACGATTAATTCGTGTTTCTCGTGTCGCCGCGCGAACGGCGATCCCCTGGGCGCATTCTCGTACGGCGATTTTAGTGGAATTGTTATCTAACATCTTTCGGCCGGCGATCGGGTATTCTTTATTCATACCGGGACACACGATGTACAGCCAAACAAGCCAGACCCTCTAACAGACCACTCCTAAAGGAGGCGAACCGCAAATGGTTGACGAACGTATCATTACTCCTTTTTCTTTCTACTTCACGTAGCAAGATTATACGGCTGCGGTGTATCATTCCGCCGCCTCGGTATTTCTGTCTTGAAGACTCGCCGTCTCAAGTGCTGTCTCAATTATTGAGTCTAGACTGGACGATTTTTCTGGTCGTCGGCTCTCGGTGCCGGTATTTTACTGTTCTTAATTTTACGCCTGATGGAAGGACAAGTTTACAGTTGATCAAATGGTGGATCATTTCCTCCGAGACGATAGAAAATCGATACAAGTCTTAGATTTCAAACATTTCCACTGCTCATTGATAACTCGGTGATCTCCGAATAATCTCATAGATTCTAATCGTTCCTTTGATTATTAATCGTTCACTAAATCATCGTTACTCGTCAAACACTGAAACAGTGATTCACAGGAAACCCGAAGTTATCTACCGAGAGGCCACTAAGCCAAAGTTCACCCCTCGTAACCGAATTTCTTCGAAATGCTCGGCAACCGGTTCAACTTGGTTGCAATCTAGCAAGTTCCGCGGTAGACGGAGGTCTCCCTTCCTAACCTAAATTCGAAAGGGTTGAAGCAACCCCAATAGTAATGGATTTTCCCCGGTGTTTCCGCGGCGGCCGAGCATTACGCCTTGATATATCATCGGAAGTTGCGGGAACCTGAAGAAAACGTTGGGCCAAAGAGTGTTACGAATGTGGGCGGCTGGCTTTTAGCCGTTCCGGCCTTTAAAATTAAGTTTAGCCGGCACACTTAACGAGGATAAACCACCTGCGAGCGTGCCTTCATAATTCCCTAAGTTATTCTGTTTGCGTGCATTTAACTCGCGCCTGGCCTGAAACCTTCCGCATCTCGAGGGGCTGCCGCCGCGCGGCCGGCCCGCTGAAATGCTGCCCCATCGTGATTTTCGTATTTCTTCTCTTCCCGCCGACTTACCGCGGATACCGCGGACGTTAACGAAGCGGCCCCGCAATTTCCTTGATTCCTCGTTGCCTCCACCCATCGACCTCTCGCTTGTTCTTCCCACTTCGGCGCCCTGAGAAATGAATTTTCTTAATTATGCTTCCCGAAGTAATTTCCGGCGTTCGCTTATTCATGTTCGCTTACGTTTCACTCCTTAACTCCGTGCGAGTCTTCTGTTTGCACGTTCAACATTAGCTTGTATTCAAGTATATTACCCTCGTCATTGTAATACTGCTACTATGAATTTATAAATTGTTTCGCTACTGAAAATCTTTGGAACCAAGACAAAACGATGTGAACATCAGTAATGTTCATCAGCCTGTATCTCGATACAGGAAACATTACTTTAGGAAATATTACGTTGAATACCTTACCATGTCTATTTCCCGCTGAAATTCGATTTAGAATATTGAAATTCCGACTCGCGAAACTCTGGACACGTAGAAAATTGTATAAAATGGATTCGGCATTTTTCAACGGTCCAGGATGATCCCTCGAAACGGTCCCCGGCGCGAGGAGTCGTCCGAATTCCCAGAATGTTCGAAACTTTCACCGTTTTCCGCCGCGGTCGGGAAAAGAGGGAAAAAGGGAAAAGTGAAAACGGTGAAAAAAGAAAGTAGAAAGTTTCCCCGGTCAGGTAAAAAAAGGAACACGAGAGTATTCTGGCACGAAGATCCGTCGGTGTAATTTGTATTTCAGTCGTTGGGTGCGACCATTCATCCCCGGGAAACGAACGACCCTTCGAATCGTTCGTGGCGGAGACCAATATCGGCGGTAAAAAAAGGTCTACGGTTTTTCTGCGCTTTCACCGAAGTCTCTAGCCCCTGGACCGAGCTTTTATGAGCCTTTCCCTGTCTCGCCGGAGGAAAAGGATTCCTGAGAAACGTTCGCGACCGCTTCGGTGGAAGTTATTTCTAAAAAACTTTCGTCCCTCTCTACTGCTCGTCCTCCATTGTAATTTTTCTGGATTGCTGTTCGAAAGAACTTTCTTCTGCAGAGAAACTTCTAATATGCACGAATATCGTCGTATTCGGTTTCAAATCTTTTTAATAAACTTAAGAATTCATGGCGCTACGATTCTAGGTTTCACGTTAGAATTCCGAAGGTTGACTCGCATATTTCGCGATAAGTAGGCTATGCAAAGGTGATGCAAATTCAGCGGTTCCGTTGAGTAATTTATAAACCTACGACTCAAATGGAAATTTATTGGATACCACAGAAAAGACAACGTCTAGTAATATTTACTAACAGTCGTGTACGTAATCCTACTGGAAGAATCCGATTATCTATGATTCTTACTATTGTTATTTAATATCGGTGACAACACGTGATTTCCTATTTCTATGAATAATCCCCGTTTCAATTTAAAACCTCTAACTCCGACACTAAATGTTCAGTGCAGAGTGTATTGATCTGTTAACTGTGGAATTTAGTTTGAAAAACCTCTCTGCGTGCGATAAAATAAAAAAATGCTACTCATCGAACGCAGGACAAATGCACCTAGAGTATATTTTAATGAAAGACCAAAGCAAAACAAAGAATTACATGTTTGTCTGAAAAAATAAAGAATTCATCGTTGAAAGAATTAGTGTCATTTCAAGCTTTAAGATGTGTATACTCGTCGAACACAGTGAACCGGTTAAAAAGAGATGAGCACATCTGATTTCCCGAAAGGTGGAAGCTCACGGGGCCGCGATGACCTCGTTCGAAATCTCATTATCAACCAGTGGAACGATTAACGCCCGCGGGAAGAGAAATTCGCGCGATAATTCCCGCGGTCCTCCCAAATCATATCTCATCGGCGGCTCTCCCAGATAAACGGAAAAGTTTATAAAGTTTCCCTTTACCCAGCCGTAATTCAGCGGCCAGAGGAATTCGCCAATTAACCCCACGAACCGCGTCGTAATTGTAGGCTGCCCGGGCGCCGATTCGACGATACTGGGCCCCGGTGTGATGTTTAATCGATGCACTCGTTCCTCCGGTTGTCGCGATCCCCTTTATGCCGCCGAAAGTGCCGCCATTTTCGTTCTTTCGTGACTGCCGGATAGAATTTTAGATACGCGAATAACGATGATAATGCCTGAATTGCCGGACGCATTATGGCCTTTGTCACGCATCGCAATTTTCATGGAAATAAGACGGACGCTGGTTTAGGGTGATTGCCGGCGTTGAAACAACCCCCTAAACAACTCCCGCGAACCTCTTTTCCATGGATGCCGGGTGATCGTTAGATAGTTCCCGGTTATAGTTCGGTTCACCGCGATTTTCATTCCTACCGCGAGAGATTTCAATTTTCCACGTTTCGACTTTCAATCTAAATCAATTCTATGCGTTTAGTTTGTGATTTGTATCGCGACTAAATATAATTATTAGTTGCGTAACCCGTAGCGGAACAATTTTTCAATTTCTAATATCCATCGACGCTACTCTCGGTGGACTGAATACCATGCGCGAGTTTAAAGAATCCAACAATCATTATTCCCTCCACTGACCACGACCACTCAGCGCAGGAACTTTCCTTCTTAATTGATTCTTTTTAAAATTCGATTACAAGAAATTGTTTGCTCCCCGAGCGGAAACGATCCGTCTCCCCGCGTTTTTCTCCCGTGTCCATTTCTTCATCGTCGTTCGCATCCCCCGGCATTTTTCACGGGGCGCAAAGTAGATCGTTAGCCGGTGCATGGAATATTGCCAGAAACTATAATCGCGTCACGCTCGAATAGTAGCGGTCGGCGGTGGAAGTAACGTCGATATCGGGACGGGAAATCGATTAGCGCGACGATAAATTCCGATTTGAGTTATATTACCATATTAATTACATATTTATGACGTTATTTGTTAGAGGAGGGCAGAGCGGCGTGCGCGTGCGAGCGAGCGAGCGAGCGAGCGCTCGCGCGGCCGTGTTTCTGTTGCATTGTTTCGCGCGCTCATTAAATCGCGCATTGATAGCGGGGCCGCATTAAATTCGCGACCACGCAACCATGGCTTGATAATATAATGAGATATACATATATTTCCCTCTTTTTCTTCCCCTCTCATCCTTTTTTCCCCTTCCGTTGCCCGTCTCATTTGCTCCCCGTTACCCAATATTCCCCGGCATCACGAATTTGCGTTTCGAATTTACATTTCATTGTCGGCGGCCGGCCGACTCCCGACGTTTTTGTCGTCCCGCGAGCGGGTAGACAGTGTCCAATTAAGAAAGGCCTCCGCGCTATCGTGCGGCGGAGTCATGGCCGAAGAATTTGACGGACCTCTAGCCGCGCGCGCTTCCATACGTCACCTTTTTTCCTCGCCTAAATAAAGAACGGGACACACCAGCAAGCCTTTCTCTCTCTTTCCCTCTCTCTCTCTATCTATCTCTCTTTCACTGTTCCTTCCTCGCGTCCCTGCCAAGCCCGGGCCGACTCGGCCCGGTCCGTCCCGCTTGCCACGGCGCCGATATACGCCAAGATAAATTTTGACAGTGAACAAGAAAAGGCAATTTAGAGGAATTTCGGCGATCTACTTTTATATAGGAAAGTTTGCCCGTATATAGGCGGCGATAAATCGCTGGCCCCGAGTCTGAAAGCTAGAAATATTTAAAGGTATCCTCTTTCTTTCTCGCCCCCGGTATCGCGTTTCCGAGCGAACGAAACGCGTCCTCTGCGGTTTTCTTCGTTTGGAAAAGGGCATACGTGGTTCGTTGGCTCTCCAGCGGAATAATACACTCCTCCGCGCGCAAATCATCCTACACGCGATATCTTTCGCCGCTTGTTGCAGCGAACCAGTGTGTCCATGCTAACGATTAACTGGGATTATGAATCATTCATAGAGGAAAGTAGAGCCAACGTACGCTGGACGTTGGTACGGGGAACGGGTCGGCAAGTAGTATGAGCGACTTTGCACGACCAATGCTATTCGGCTGACGGTATTGCGATGCCATCTAGTGGCTCTAACGACATCTGGCTTAATTATGGCCGCCTCACCCCCTGGCATTCGAGGGCGTGGTTAAGGCGGGGACGGCCCCGCGACGGACAATTTCGTCGCATTGGCTCGTCACTCTTCGTCGTCCATGGTTCCGCGCCTTCGCCCCGGAAAAATGAAACCGTTCTCTCGCTTTTCCATTTCAAAATACACCCGGAAAAGCTCCGCGAAAGATTCGGAGACACGGGCGATCGCTTCGAAATGTTTCGAAGCGGGAACGCCCGCTGGCGTGTAGCACTCCGCGACGCACTATTTTTCGTTAATTGCCTGTTTCCGTCGTAGATGGCAGCACGGGTCAACGCGCTCCTCGGCCGACGAGTCAGGCTCTCTGCCTTACCGACGCCTCAATCGGTACGGGACGTAATTTAGGGTCGCTCCTACTTACCGTGCTTAACGCCATTCCACGGTAGTCCAATGATCGCCGGTAATGCGTTTTATGGTTTGTTTTTATCGACGCGGTCGTACAGTAACTTACAGTGCTGTTTCTGGTTCTCAACGCCGGGCTCCCTCGCTCCTACCCCGGGGAATCCCCTTTCGTGATTTCGCGCGCGCGTACACTCGTGTTCGCCGCGCTGACGCGGACTCCGTACGCTCGCAATTTCTCGGCGCGCGCTCTCTCGTCTCTCCGTTCGTTGATGATCCAATAAAGACGACGCGGTTCAGGTAGCCTCGTCGGAATAACGTAAAGCACCGGCGACGTGTCACTTTATCGCCCAGTAAACCGTGATTGCGACAGATTGACGCATGATCTTCCTCCTTTCCGCGCGACCGTCCGCTCTCTCCGTCTCTCCCGGGCGTTTACACAGCCGAGCGGTCGGTCGCTCGTCAAACGGCGGGCCGGGTATCTTTATTGGCTGTAAAGGAAGACATTTTACGATCCATAAAAGCGTTTATAGCGCTCGAGCAGTCTTACCTCGGTTCTTACACCCCAGTTATATCCATTACCCCTTCCGCGGCGTTTCCAAGGGCGGCCACCGGCACGCGCGCGCTCTCTCTCCGCTGCCTTCGAGATTTACAGGTTACGCTCCCGGTAACACCTCGTAAACTTGGCTTAACGACTTTAACCGGGCCTAACTGCTTCCTTCCTGCAATCAGACCCTGACCTACCTCCCGCGCAGACGTCCTAGAAAAATTTCAACGCGGCCACCTGCCGTGAAAACCCATTGTCTCGTTGTCCCCTGGTTTTGCTCGGCTTAATCGCACCCTATCCATTACGCCACCTGTAATCTCTTCCTTCATCTTTACGACCGATTATTAGCTACTTCCACCGGACAACCCTTTTCGAACAGCTATGACAATAAACACAATAGCATCACAAGACCCACCCCCTACAATACAGAACAATACTCATCTCTGGACGTCAACCGACAATACAATCCAACATCCCATCTTACCGACACCTCAACCTAATCCTAATAGGACTCATCAATGATCCTGCCCGTTGAATTAAAATAATCTACAAGCATCGGTGTCGTTTCGTGCGCACTGTTTATGCCTCCGCGTGGCGGCAGGTGCGTACGAATTCCGCGGGAGAGCTGGGCGACCCCGTGTCTCCCGTGGCAAAGGCGTGGGGCCGGCGGTGTCCGCTGTTTTATGATTTGTTTTGATTACGGTTCATTACCATTTTACGCCTTTCGTTGCCACGTAACTGCCTGGCAATAATTCTTCGTTGTTGATTCTATCGCGACGTTTACGACCGTCATTATTAGCTGATACCACTTGAACTCTCGTAAAGTCTACGCCCGTGCGATCCTGCTCGTCCGGGACATCCGCCTGCACGCTGGCCCGTTGGCCTGGCCACGCGGGGGTTTCCCCCTGGTGCCACGGGCTCTCTCTTTCTCTCTCTCTCTCTCCATTTCTCTCCGCTCGGAGAGGGGAGACTTACGAGTTACGGGATCGTCCGGCAGATCGCGCCCTTGTACTTCGCTACGTCTTAATGCCATACTTCATTTATCGAGGCCTCTTTCTCTCTTCCTCTTCCTCCCTGCCCTCTTATCTCTCCGCGAGGAATCATCGTAGCCTTGGGCTCGTGGAACGATCGCCTCCGCTCGGTTTCCCTCGCTCTCGCTCTCGTTCCTCGCCGCTCTTCCCTCTCGTTCCCGCCGCTTATTATCTTCGCTTTCATTTCGTGCGCGCTTACTTTCTGTCGTAAATTCTGCCCGCGAACGACCGGGAGCGTGGTATCGGGCGATCTTGATGATTTCCGTATAAATCCAACACGCCGGGTAAATTTATCTCGCGACGGACGGACGAATAATTGGATTTTGAGAAATGTCCTCGCCCCCGTGATCCGATCTGCTCGTACGGTTCGGAGAATTCTAGGGTCTCTTTATTCGGCGACTAATACTCGCTCCAGGATTTTCTTACTTAGAGTTCAATAATATAAGTTTGACCGAAATCGACTCGGTTTTCACCGTTGCCTATTAACGTTTAGATGTCGGACTAATGGCGACCGTGTAACTCTGTTTCACTGAATTTCCTAGATTACTATTTATAATTTCATGCTAACAATCTGCATATAACCGAAATGAACTCGAAGACCGTTATACAAGGATAACATATTTGAACAAAGCAGTCCGCGCTATTTAATCCCACGCTGAAATTCACGCGGTAATCCTAGACGAAATTCATTCCGGATACTGTGACGGAATTTTGTAACATAAAGACTTGTTGCTAAAATCTTCCACGCGGCGCAGCCTAATGCACCCGTGCTCGTCCCATCCCGCTGGATTAAGTGTTCCAAAGTTATCACGTTAATGATCGCGATTTAAATACAAAAGGACGGATCACGGATCATATTGTGGTTTCCATAACGGCGCGGCCGGTGCGACGGGTTTCCGCAGGGTGGGCGGTTACTCGGCCTGCGTCGCACAGGATCGCGGGGCGCCGGTCGGCCGACGCAAACAGGCATAAACAAAAGCTTTTTCGCGGTGGCCTGATAGCTTAATAACTGCGGGCGCTGATCCAGCCGGAAGGCCGAAGGAAGCCGCGAATTTTCGCAAAACCCGGTTTCCGTTGGACGGCCGCGGGGTATTAGCATTTAAAACGTGAACAGCGCCCCGTCTGCCGGCGCCATTGGCCCGCATTTACACAACAATGAGGGGGCCGCACTCTAAAAACTCCCAGAATCCCCGGGCTCCGAAGTCAACGGAGGAAAGAGCGGCAGAGACGGCGGATGAAAAAGAAGAGAAACGGAGAA